CCAGTACTAGAATACTGCTTACAAGTCAGGTGTCAAGTGTTTCTAACAGTGGAAGAAATTAAGGCGGTGTAAGAAGAAAGCCACAAAGATTATCTGAATGCTTGAAAAAAAGCCCTACTGTGAAGGACAGAATGAATGCAATTCGCTAAGCTTATGAAAAAAGAGTTTGAAAGGTAACTTGATTGCAGCAGAGAAGTACTAACACACAGAGAACATACCATGTATTAAAAGGCTTTTTAACCTCAGGGAAGAGATTCCTGTATCCTAAACCATTCAACAGCCAAACAGGCTGCTGCTCTGCTTACAGGGGGCTCCAGCACAGGCACATGCCCAGACCCTGGCTACAGATGGGTCTCGGTGCCTGTTATTTATATTTGAGTAAATAGTCATGTCTTTTCTGTTGTATGTCCTGGAACCAGAAAATGCTTAAATTGTCTTTTTTTGTTGTTTTGGTTTTTTTTTTCAAGTGAATTTTAATACCTGTGGTTTGGATTTGAACACATGTCAAGGGACACTTCTAACAGTCGTTTTAGCTGTGTCTAAATATAGACACAATATAGACACATACACAATATAGAGATTGGAAAAGGGGATGATAGGTATAGGGAGGGAACGAGCAGGATTACAGTGTCACTATTCCAATCTGTAAGAATCTCCAGTTGCTGACTATTTCTTGTGTCTCTCTCTCTCCTGATAAATGTCACTATGCAGACACTGATCAGACAGTAGAATGCTTAGGAGTTTATTTTGAGTTAATGGGTTGCTGGCAGTCCAAACTCTGCAACATGATAAACAAAATATTTTTCTACCCAGAAGCATCAAGTATTCACAACATAGCCACACCTTAGGAAAAGAGAGGGAGAAATGGACTCTGGAAATAAATGAGAGGGCTCCATAGTGTAAAAGTAAAATAGATCATTTTGAAGGAAAGGGACCACTGCAGAATCTAATTCATTTGCAAAATCCTCTCCTCTATTTAGGCTCCACAGTAATTGTTAAGTCTTCCCTTCCAATGAGTTTTATCAAGGTTTTTTTGTGTCTTTTGCCACTTGTTTGGGATGAAATCTAAGAATACATAACCAGCCCATAACCCAGGGAGGTGGTAGATTCACCATCCCTGGAGGTTTTTAAGATGAGACTGGATGTGGCATCAGTGCCATGGCCTGGGAACCACGGCGGGGTTGGATCAAGGGTTGGACTTGATGATCTCAGAGGTCTTTTCCAACCCGGTTGATTCTGTGATTCTTTCAGGCACTTTTGGAACATACTAGATCTCTTACCCATCCCAAAGGCCCATATGCATATTGAATCTGCAAATATGCTTGGGAACTACTCTAAATCAGCACGCTACTTGGAGTTGTCACCACTTGGTACAGCGATGAATACTGTGTTCATTGAGGCCTCCTGCTGCAGGAAAAAAACCTGCAGAGTGCAGTCTTGTGCTTGAGGTTCCCTCTAGCCCTAGTTTCTGTTGACAGTAAAACTCCTCTTCACTGATGACCAGAAATAGTTTGGGTTTTTTTTGGTTAGGCTTTTTTTGTTGATTTGGGGGGGGGCTTGCACCCTATTTTTTAAAGAAAATCTCCTGAAACCTGTAGCAAAGGTTGTTAAGAGGCTGATACTTATTTCTCAGATACTCCTGAAACTCAGATTTCTCCTGAAACTTATCACTGTGAGATGATCTATACCTTACAGAATTACTGAATGAGAGTTATGCTTATGGCTTTTTGCCTCATGTTTCTGAGGTGTTATATGTTATGGAGACTTTGACACTTTCAGGACAAGTGTCAAAATCTGATTATAATTCCTTTGGACAATATTTCTATTAAAATATATAGGTCATCACAAACAATATTTTTGACCTTGTAGTTTTTTTAACATCTGAGAATGCAGAAGACTACACAGCAGTCTGTCAAAAGTAGCATTGTATCTCTAACATGAACTTAAAGGATAAAAATTACTCTGCACAAACAACTTTATTTTCAAAACAAGAGGAAAACATACAGTATTTGTCCAAAAGTTTAACTGAAAGCCATAATTATGGCTAATGAAGACAAAGAGACATCATTTTATGAAAGTTTGTCATTTTGACCCTATTGAATCATCAGCTATGTTCCATTTTCAGTGGGGATTTTTATGTTAAAATAGCCAGAGCTTTCTACTGTCACAAGTAAAATGGTTAAAATTAGTGCAAGGTCTCTTTCATGTGGAGAAAAAGCATGTAAAACCCAAACAATTCCAAAACTTCCTTCTTTATTATTAAATTAGTTCTGGTAACATCCCTCTGCCTAATGCACCAGCTTATTGCCCAGGCTTCAAGATATCTTTTTAAAATTTACTTTGTATTGCAAAGTGTCAGTTGAAAGTACCTGGTGTTATTATGGTCAAATATTTTATTACACGGAGTCCCACTAATCCAATAAAAACAAGAAGGTAGCTTACCAGGAATGTTTTTACAGAACAACTTAAAACCAGGCTGATCATATGTACAACTTCCAAGATAAATGACAAACTTTAAAAATTGTTTTTTAATCCAAGTTATTCTCACTAACCCACATAAATATTTTTGACATTTATTATGTTTAATAAGTCTGTCCAGCCTTCACCCGGAAATACTAAAAGATATGTGTTGCCTCATTTTGGGAATTATGAGCTACTGGAATAACCTTAAGAAGTTTTAGTAATATTTTTACTGTCTAGCACTGTCTTCAAAATACATTATACTCCCTCTAAGCTGATATTTGATGATAGGGAATCACAGATCTTTCAATAAACAAAACAAGATCCAGAATCTTTAAAGAGCTGGACCAGCTCCTAACCTCCAATAAAGTCTGGGCAAATCTCCCTGTAATTCTCAAGGTGTTAATAATTGAAAAAAAAAAAAAAATTATGTACCCCCACAGAAAACTGATATAGCCCAGTGGCTTGAGAAGAATAGATGAAAAGTGTGATTTGTGTACATATTCCCCTACTTGGTGACAAAACCCATACATTTTGAGAAATAAGAGAAAAAAACCTAAAATGCCAAACTCCATGTGATAAAAGAAATAATTATAATTAAAAATCTTAGCCAAATTTCTGTCAGAGGCATCTTTATCATAGCTCTACCTTCTTGCAAAGGGATTGTAATAAACAATTTAGTAAAAATGTGTTACATTTAGAACACTGCAGGCTTAATCTGGTTGCCCACACATGGGCACATGGTACCAGTTAGGATGCTGCTGGTGCCTACCCAGCTGCCATCCCAAAAAGGCTCTCATAGGTTCTCTGTCACATCTGACAGCCCTCTGCATCAAAACCATACCAAATTTAAAAAAAAAAAAATTAAAAACTCAGCTAGTGCACTATTCAATAATTATAAGTGAAAAACTTATAGATTTTTTTATCAACTTATTTTGCTTTTACAACCAGATTTCATACATTATATCCTAGTCAGTAGTTTAGCTAAAAAATTCCATCCAACATCCTTATAATCTGTAATAGAAACAAGCATAAAATAATTATACAGGAAGTAGCGAAATAGAGATTTTACACATCTAAATGCAATCTCTAGCAATTCAGGTCTTTTCTCAGGCTAATAATAGAGCTGCTTAAATTTAACAGCAGAAGACAATTGCATGTCACAGAGTGGCATAATACAAAATGAGAAACTTTTAATATCTGTGAGAAAAATTACATTATTAGCATTCATAATATAACCTATAAAGTACTGTATTTCCATCACTTAAGAGCAGTATTTGTTTCATCTATTCAGAGCAACTCTGGATATGAAGATCTAATTCCTGGACACAATCTTATTACAGCATCTGAGATCAACAGGACTGTTGCTGCCTTTCCTGCACTCACAGGACTTGTGGGTACAGGCTGTGAGGACACATTCATGTTTAACTATTGTGAAAATGTCACATAAAGAAATGAGAAGGGCGTTAAATCACTGTACAAAGATTTAAACTGGAAGCTGGTAAGGTTTTAATAACAATCTGCTTGTGAATTATGCTTCCAATAACACATAAATGTATTATGAAGCTTTAGCTGGTATAAAGCAGTTTCTTATGGTTTAATGTATTTGAAAAGAGAATGGCTGTACTTTGTGGTAACAGAAATACCAATTCTGTATCTAACTCTTAGTTTAATTCACTTAATGATAGCTGCAGTTAAGGCAGACACCAAGCTTAAATTCTTGCTCTTCAGTTTGTGAAAGCAGAGGACAATATTAATTCCCCATGTTTATGGGAGTGCAGTAATGGAAGCCTCCTTTTCCACAGAGCTGGGACCCAGCCCCCTGCTGCACAGCCATGTGCCCTCACGGAGTGCCTCTCCCACGAGCTGGGCTCCAGTTGCACCCCGGGCCAGCTCCTGCCCGGTGCCCCATGGCCATGGCAGCTCCTCCATCACCAGCCATTCCCCCCTCACCTACCACAGCACCTTCAGCCTTTCCTGTGTAGCCCAGGATATCCAACAACCCAACTGCTGCAGGCAAGGGTGGTGGGGCAGTTTGAAGGATGCTCACACACTTGGTTCTTGGTGTATGAGGTGCCCGTGCACACGTGTTGGGAATCTCTGTGAGGAGAGGTCGGGGCTGCCCCGTGCCCAACAAAGCGAATTCCAACCAGTTCCAGGACAGCCCCACCACGGGGCACAGCTGAGCCCCTCACTGACACTGGTGGTAACAACAGACAGAGGGGGAAAAACTGCAGAGTGTGGGGAATAAGGTGTGAGAGACGATCACCCAGGTCAGAGGTGGAAGAGGAACTCCAGGTGCCCCTGCAGCCGCCAGGGGCTGGTGGTGGAGCGAGGCCCTGGTGGAGCAGACTTCTTCCTGAAGGACCACAGCCTGTGGAGAAGATCCATCGAGGGGCAGGGGAGAAGCACAAACTCTAGGTTGTGTAAGTGGAGAATGGCACAGGTGCTTGCTCTGTCATGAGCCATGTGAATTGTCCTCACAAGAATCCAGCCTGCTAAGCCCACCTTGCCTCAGCAGGTGAAAGCAACAGCAGCACTAGGCATTTTGAGGATGGCTTTGTGGCAGCCTTGTATAAAAAGCTGCTCAGCCTTCAGATTCTTCATTTTACTGACTAACGAAGAGAAGAGGAGCTCTGTTCTTGCAGTACAATTACCACAATAAAGAGTTCTTTAAAAAAAAATCCCATGTTGTCATACTGGGTTCTAGCAACAGACTGTCCCTCTGAAAGAAAAATCAACACATTATGGAAAACTTGGAAGAAGGGATATTTATTGTATTACAAGATTTTTACCTCATGTATATATGGAAGTATTATTCTGTTAAAAAAGGCCTTATCACAACCCTGACTGAAGGGGAGCCATGACAGAGCCTGACAGCTCAGATTTGTCCTGGCTGCTTCTTTTCTGATTTAAATAGCAGACTCCAGACCCAGCCCCCATCCCTACATCTGCTTTAGCTGGAAGTAAGAACATCCAAAATTTACACAGACCCCTTTTGGCCTCAGAACAGCTGCCAGCCCTTCAAAAGCCACCACTATTCTGTTCCTACAGTTCCATCATTGAGAAGGCAACCACAATATTTCATGTATATTTAATACTAACATGAAATATTGATTAGCCTTTCCAGCTTTAAGTTCTGTTTAGCATTTTATCTCAAACCTCAGCTTGGCACCAAAAAACCCCCCATAAAACTGGAAAGATTTCAGTCCCTAAATCCAGGAAAACTATAGTCAAGTGAGTTGCTTCTTAAAATCACAATTAGAAGTTTATTTGCATAATCACCACTCTTACACTCTAAATTATCTTTTCATTGCAGCAATACAGGAACTTTTTAAGAGATGTTAAAGGATTTGAGCCTGCATTATCTAATCACTCTTATGCAACCTGTCAGTAAATCCATGTATTGTGTATGACTGGACATGCCTGGCATATCCCTCCTAGCTGTCTACCCCAAAACTCACTGACATTCTGGGCATTTCAGATCCCACACCTCAACCTCCAGTGCAACACAAAGCCCTCATACTGCAGCATCTCTAAAAACCCATGAGAGTGCAAACTGGACCCAGCCCAGCCCCCTGACCAAGCATACAGGCTTTAAGGTAACCCCTTGGGCATCCCTGCCTGCCTGGACAGCCTTGCCCTGATGATCAGGGTACCCACAGCCTCTGCCACCTGCACAAGGGGCATGGGGGGGTGAACAAAAGCAAAAACTCAACCCACACAAAGGTGGAGGATGCGGTTGAGGCATAGCTGGAATTACACAGGAGGCACGAGTGGCACAGCACAGTCTGTACCAGGGCACCCACTGCAGAACAGCAGCATGAGGAAGGAGCAAGAGTGCTTCAAGATAGGGACACACAGCAGATGGGGGAACAAGAGGTGTCCAAGGAAAGGCTAGAGCCAGTCAGCCACACCTGCACCCCCTGTGTCCTACCACAGGAGGAAGGGGCTGAACCTGAGCACACGATGCTCATGGGCACCCCACCTAGGTACTGGCACTGGCAGCTGGGGGACACAGCCTGCAACAGAGTCAGGCCCTCACCCAGCTCTAGTGGAAGCTCTGGAAGCTGCAGGCCAAACAATCACACCTCAGTGCTCATCCGCACCAGAAATGATGCTTTAGTGTGCCAGCACCCTCCTTGCCAGGTGTGTGGGCAGGGAGAAGTTAATCTTCAGTTTGTGCACACTTCTGTCTTCTACTATGACTCCCTCCAAAACTCTACCTTTCAAGCCCAGAAAAAAAAAACCAACCCCCACTTAAAATATGCATTTTGAAATCCTATTAAAACTGTTTGTTCTCTGCTATATTAACCACTGGCTAATCAACGTCCTTTCCTGGCTTTAAGGAGAGCAGCTGCCAAGAAGTGACCTTCAACTCACTCCCACAGCAGAGGTTTTGTTAGAGACATAACCCTGCAAGAGACGAGTTCTAGCTGAATGTTATGTCACGTTTTAAGATGTTAAGCATTTTAAAATATACAAGTTACTTAAGCTTTAAACAAAGTGCTAAAATACAAAGACCGAAGCTTTTCCTTAATTAAGACAGTATATTAGTTCTGCTTATCTGTGCTTTTGCTGAAACAGGTGACATTACAGCTCACTTCACGTGTCCATAGCCATTATTCCCTATTTCACACTAAACTTCCACCTTATTAGTCAGACAAGTTTTTTCCAGCAGCAACTTTCATTTGAGCAAGCCTCATGTGTTTAAACAAGAGGAACTCTCACCAGTACCCATCTTCTCCCTAATGGAGTAACAGAACTTCACAATTCTTGTAGTTCCATAATTACAGGTACAAGATGTAGGAATTCCTCCTGTCTTTAAACAGTGCCAGTTCATCTCAGAGGGTTAAAAAAATAAAAATCACATCTTACGCAATAGACTAATAAAAACGCTTCATATCAGCATAACAAGCAATATGTAACTGGTAGTTCTGCTTGTGGAGGAAGTTTTGCAAAGCCTCCTGGTGTCAAGCATCTGGAACACCTCAGCATGCTGTAAAGTAATAGCCCAGCTCCTTGCTTGCAGAAGAATCAAGTATGTATTCCAGATACTTAGCACTGCTTTCCCTTGTGTCAGCAGCTCCTGTGAACAGGTCCAATCCATCCAGACACCTTCCATCTCACAACAGTGGTATACTTGAAGAAAGGGACGCAAGTTTCAGTCTATATATGTGGAGGATTAAATGCAACTAGGCAGGCAGGATAGAACCACAGGAAGGACCCTCAGGAACATCCTTGTTCGGTCATTTTGTTTGCTGGAGTTGTATCTGTGACACAGAAGTGCTTACTTAGGTCTGTGGGCTCAGAAAGGGGCTACAGAAGCCTTCCAAATTCCAGAGGCACGAGATAGAGATACTTCTATATATCCAGAGTCAGCTGAATGAAGCAAACAGCTAAGAAAAGTCCTTTGACTTTACCTATGTTATCAAATATACTCAATAGCAAGATGACTGCATCTCAGGAGTCTGTGCTGACACTTCACAGAAACCAGGAGAGTATTATCAGCTGCGTTTCACATTCTCCTTCTCATCAGCATCTGAATAGGTGTGTAGTAAATCCTTTGGGGAGAAAGAAGAAATAAAAAAAAAAATGGAACAGATTTCTTTTGTGCCCACTTCCCCTTCATTCCTTACTGCAAGAGGAAGACCAAAGAATCTCAACCTATCCTTTTGCCCACAGGGCCAGGTAGTTTTATACAATCCCAAAACTATTGTAGATATTTTACCACCAAGAGCTGCCCTGCCACATGCTCTCTCTGCAGTTTCATCTCTCCTGCCACTACAAGTTTTAATTTGAATGGTCTTGCTTAGGAAGAAAAAGAAACATCTCAGTGCCAACATCTCTCATCTTGGTAGCACAAAGTAGGCTTTGCTAGCATGAGGTTTTTCTTTATCTGGGTTAAAAGCTGATGATGTCTTAACTGTCTATAGAACTGCAGCACAGAAGGATCAGCTCTCACTACTTTTGGGTCAAAATCCAGAACACGGAGACCTGCAAGGCTACGGGCTCGGGCTCGGGCTACGTAAGCCTGCCCACTTTCAAAGACACGAGACAGGGAGATTTCCACACAATCTAAAGACATGCCCTGCCAAAGACACAGAGAACTTTGTTACAGAACAAACAAAAAAGAACACTGTGCTGTACCAACACTAACCTGTGAGTCTGTCAAAGGTACCGTTCTTGGTGTAAGGGCTTGATTAAAAAAAAAGAAAAAACCAAAGAAGTCTTTTGTTTTACTGTGTAACTGATTAAAAGATGAGAATCAGAAAGGAAAGGCAGTTTTCTACTGTCAGTAAATTGCTAGCAGATAGTAGAATCCACTAACTAACTCCAGAGAACCTCGTGTTGCACAAAACTCCATAAATCCCATCTAATCAACACAGCAGGGAAAGAAATTCTGCTGGTTGCACTCCTAGTAGTTAACTAGAACAGTCACCATTCTCAAGCAGTCCTCAGGTAGATCAGAGAGTCTGGGTTAGGCCTGTCTGCAGGGCTGTCCTGGGCACAGCAGAATTTACAGCTTGCCCTGGTTTAAACAGTGGCACAGGAACAATAAACAGTGGCATGGGAACAAACTCACAGGTCTCCAAGACCAGTATTTATCAAAGTGTATGAAGTCTTCTGGAA